TAGTAACAATAGCAAAACAAGTGTCAACACTACCCCAATCATTTCCAACGTTGCCTTCCCCACCACCTCCACCAAGGAGATCTGGTGCACCACCTTCTCCCCTACCACCAGGATTTAGGGCACCATCACTCCCACTAGTAGGACCAAGTACAGAAACAAAAGGTGGACCACCACGCCCACCACTAATGGAAGCAAAAGGTACAAATGGAATATCTCCACCACTACCTCCTAGTGGAAGATCCTTGACCACAAGGAAGCTGGTAACTAAATTGAAGAGATAAAGCAACATGGGTAATTTGTATCTTGTACTCAAGGGAAAAATAGAAGGAAAATCTCAATCAAGTAAATTACAAGGGAGAAAGCCCTCAGTTAGCAACGGATCCTCTGCTGGTGGAAAGCAGGGAATGGATGATGCCTTGGCAGAGATGACAAAGAGGTAATTACTAAATTCATCAACAATTTCTAGTAACCAATTAACAATATTTCAACATATAATTGATTCGTTATATTCTCTACTCATATCTTAGGTAAGCTTACTTCCAGCAAATTGAAGAAGACATTCAGAAGTATTCAAAGGTGATCAAAGAGCTAACATTTTCCATTAGTAACTTCAAATCAATGGACATGACCAAGATGATTGAGTTTCATAAACATGTAGAATATCCGTTCTTGAAAACTTAGCAGATGTAACATAGGTTAAGTCCTGTGATTTTTTATTTTTCCTTTATTATTAGCTTGCTAGTTGACTTGTTTTTGTTTCGGTTAACCATGATTTCATTGCTTGGAGATGATGACTAGGTGCTAGCAAGGTTTGAAGGCTTCTCGACAAAGAAGTTGGAAGCCTTAAGAACGGTGGCTGCACTTTACAACAGATTAGAATCAATAGTCAATGAACTAAAAAGCTTTAAGGCAAGCCTCCCATGGAAAAGGTCCTTCACAATGTGGAAAAACACTACAGCAAAGTAAATTTTCATTCTAAAAAGGAAGATAGGGCTATATTTCTAATAACATTACTTTGCCTCCGCAATGTTCATGAAATCTAGATTGTGCAAACCGAAAATAATCTATAAATGAAAGTAGAAGCAGACAGATTGGACCAAATCAAAGATGAAGAGGGCAAGAAATTCAAGAGCCACAATATCAAATTTGATTTTCATGTGCTTGTACGAATCAAAGAAGCAACGGTAAATCTTTCCTCTGACTCATGGAGTTGGCACTGAAGGTATAATTCAACAAGAAGTAGCTATTCTCAATCAAATTTAAGGGCATAATTACAATGTCAACTAGCATTACATATACATTTTCTTGATTGGGACTGAGTTCAGGAGAGAATAGAAGCAAAGGTAGAACAGGCAGAAGGAGCTAGCACAAAACCTGAAGCACAAAGAGAGGGAAGTGTTAAAGATCTTTGGAAGGCTTTTCAAATTGCATTTCAGGTTTATACATTTACAGGAGGGATTGATGAGCGAGTAGATCGGCTGACCCGAGAAATAGCTCAAGAAATTGAGAAAGATCCTCTAACACCTTTCTCTACCATCCTAATCTTCTTGGAAGGAAGGCCTCGTTCTCATTAAAAAAAAAAAAATGGAGACGAACTTGAACTTTTCTAATTCTTTTGAAAGAGTTCAAAATAGAAAATGGAGGCAAAAATCAATCCATTAGTTGTGTTACAAGAACCCAAACTCAAACTTTTCGGGTCAATCAAGCAATCCATGAAAGACATATTAGTCTCTTAATCTTAAATTTTCCAATTACAGAGAAATCATTGCATGTAACATCACATGCTAGTAGTTTTATTGGATATTCTCATGTAACAAAGACACTTGAATTAATATGCATCCACTGGTTTGATAGTGTATAACTGTTTTGAGGTTTTATAATTACCTCATCTCATAATGGAGTCTCATTAGTCATAAGTCATTAAATGAATAAATACACACTAATATATTAAATGAATAAATACACACTAATATACGAGTTTATCAAGTGAAAAATGTTAATTATATAAGAAAAAAATATATATCAATTTCGACTCTAAAAAATAATTGGAGTCTCAATTTTAAATTACATTGTTTTATTTAATTAAAACTTAATTCAAAATTTAAAAAATTATCTTACTAAATGTTAATATTTAGATTTAGATTCTAATTATATTAAAATATATAATGGGTTTCTAAATCTAGATATCAATATTAAATATGATAAAATTTAAGTTTCTAGATGTAGATTGATATTTCAATTATTATTTTTGGAAGTTACATTAATCTCAATATATAATTATATTCACAGTTGGTGCTATAGGGATAGTTTTTTTATACCACTTTTTTATAAAATTTCAATATGTTATTAAATGAATAGATGTATTTAATATCATGAATTTCATATAAATTAAAAAAATTAATCATTTAAATAACATATTAAATTGTATAAAAAAATAAAATAAAAAAATTATACAAAAATCATTTCCTTTCGCCTAACATTTCAAGATGTCATCATGAGGTAGGATCGTATGTAAATATAAGATTTTCATTTTTCAAATAACTAGTTGAAGAAAAAAACTAGTACATAAATAATTGAGAAGGTAGAACAAGCAATGCAAGAAGTTCAAATTCTTATCCTTAGGGAGGAAGATTCAGCAACGTGTACATGTGCTTTACCAAATCAAACTTCTAGATTGATCCGAAATAATTTATTTGGAAATTCGTCAGAAAATTAGGTTCTTGAACTGGAACATTTTGTCTTCATCTCTGAATAATGTACTTTCTTCTTTCGTTAGAATCAGTCCAAAATCTAAACACAGAGATATTTCTTCTTTTTTTCTCCTTTTTTTTTTTCAAATGAGCAGAAGAAGTTTTGCTTGGACCCATTAGCCGAAACTTTTGGAAAGGCCGAACAACCAATACATACAGATACCGTCCATTATTGTTGGTCTTCGGTTGCGTTGGAGACTCAAATTTAGTTTCACAATACTTGTTCGGTGCTTTAGTTTCTATTTTTTTAT